TTAAAGTATTAAAAATGATTCCCCCAAGTGGAAGTGACTCCCCATAATTTGTTCTTAAGTAGAAGAAGCATATAAGTGTTTAGATTTAGTGTTATCAAGCTTGATAAGTGTTTAGATTTATTATTATTATTATTTGTTAAGATTGTTAAGTGTTTAGATTTATTATTATTGCCCTTTTGGAATATAATTTGTTAGGAATGTAATATTAGGTCATGTAACTTAGAACTGTTAGGAATATAATTCTATGTAGCCAGAAACAGCTCCCCTCTCTGTCCCCCAGGGCAGGCTCAAGCTTTTACAAAGGGGCTGCTTGAAATTGACATTGCAGGGATACATTGTAACAATGCATTGTCAAGCCACTAACTCTGCTCTGGGAGCCAAGCCCTGTAATTGACTAAGGGCATTGTTACATAATTGACTCTGGTTCTCTTCAGAGCATTGTGAAGCAATCAACCCTAATCGCAAAGTGAAACATTGTAACTATAACAGTAACTAACTCAGCACTCAGAGAGAGAAGGTTTTAAGAAATGCCACCCAGAAACTTGTGACTTTTTGTAACTACAACTCTTGTATATGTAAAGTTATTATTATACAAAATACTGTATGTGAAACATTAATTAGGGAATGTATGTAAGAGAGAGAGTGCTTGGACGATGAATGAATGGTTTTGAGAGGTGCCAGCCTGAGAATGCTGAAGAAGGCTGAAGAAAGGGCTGAAGAAGGCATCAGGTGCCAGTGCAACCAAAAGGTGTCAATTGGAGAAAACCAAATCCTGGAGGTCCACCCTATGAGATCACTGACAAGCACTTGACAGCCACCCTGGACATCAGCATGATACAGCAATTCCCATAGACTGGCATAGGAAGAAATTCCTATAAGAACTGGACTAAAAGACTATGGAGTCAGAGTCCAAGGTTCTGCTGCCAGCCCACCAGGAGCTTCAGATGCGCATCTGACCAGGACTTCGCTCCCAACTACCATCACTTGTGTACAGAATACCTGGCCAGTATTCTGTCACAAGCAACTTCCGGGCTGGTAACTATAACAAATACACAGAACCTGAATGAATGGATGAATGATTGAATGAATGTTAACCCTTATATTTTTATATATATATATATATAAGTAGTGATAGGAATAAGTAGCTAAACAACGTTGTTTGCTTCTATCTTTTCTTTATTATTATCTTTACAATAAATGTGGCTTTTTGCCTTATCCCCCTCATAAGATCCTGCTTGCTTTTATTGGTACAAACACATTTACATTTCAACATCTTCCTTAAAGCCAAAACCATGTTACTGCTATTTTAATTTTTGGTAATAAGTCCTGAATTACTTCACTTACAGAGATTCCATAGATGAGATAGTCTAAATATATATATTAACCACAAATTTGAAAGACATCATTTGACACCCTTCCCCCCATATCTATGAATAGGATAAGACGATGACACAATACACATAAAAAGCCAGCATAATAGGTTTCCTTCTTTTGAAGACTTAGGATTTCATCGACTTACAGGATCCACAATGTAACATCCCTACTACGGCGGCTACCACAATATAATGAGATTCAACCAGCCTTTCAGAGGTGGAGTGCCAAGATTTGACTTAGTCACCTCTACGTATGGGTCCGAGTGCCAGTGATACTTTTTAAAGTCCATAATAGTCCTACTTACAGCAACTGTATTAATGAAGAAAGATGCAGATCTTACCTTTTAGTGCAAGGGTTGGGCAACCTTTCAGAGGTGGCTTACCAAGATTTAACTTATTCACAGATCTGTGTGCTGGGAGAGGAGGGGAGGGGGGAGGCAAGGGAGGCAGGCTAGGTAGAGTGACCTTATTATCTGAACCAGCTGCTGCTAGGGAGAACAGTTTAATTTAAATTATGAAACAGATTAAGTGTTAACTTTCTCATGTTAGTTTATAAAACTTAATTTTAAATAAAGTAAAATATTATGTCCAACACAAAAGGCTTCAATATTTTCTTCATTTATGGCAGGGGAACCTTTTTTGGATCAGGGGGTCACTGACCTACAGAAAAATCAGTTGGGAACGATGCAAGTGAAAAGCAAAAAACACTCCTCCAAAACCCTCCGATGCTCATTGATGTGGCTCCAACTGAGACACCTCACTCCTATGGTGCCCCAGCCTCATGGGGTGAGGAGAAAGGAAGGGGGAGACAGGTTCAGGGTTTCCCATAGACCAGATTTACTTCTCAGGGGTTCCGGAGTTAGTGAATTTTATGGACCTCCTTAGACTCTGGGTTAGGGACAAAAAAGAAGGCACAGTGTGAGAGAAAAGGCTGCCAGCAAGTAGGATAGGGATGGGATTCAGGGTTCAGAAGGGGGAGAAGTTATGAGGTCTGAGTGGGGGGGAGGTAGGATGCAGAGGCTGGCTGGGAGTAGGGTATCTGGCCAGGTGGAGGGAACAGGAGCAAAGGAGGGTACAGTGTGCGGCCAGGAGAGAGTGTGCAGGAACAAGGGAAGGTGTCGGAGCAAGCGTCGGGTGCCCGGTCCCGGAAGGGTAGGGAAGTGAGGGGATTGGGCGTCAAGGGGGTCCTTACCTAGCTTCGTGCCCCCTGCAGCAATGGCCGCAGCCTGTCCCAGCCGCCATAGAGGGAAGTTCTGCTGTCAATACAGTCCGGGGCCACTCCAGAGGCCCTGCTGCCACTGTGGTCTGGGGCTGGCCACGGAGGCCCCGCTGCTGTGGCCCATGTGGTCTGGGGTGGGCCCCAGAAGCGCTGCTGCCCCTGCCACGTGGTCTTGGGTTGGCCCCAGACTGTGTGGAAGTTCTGGATCAGGTGGCCACCACAGCAGCACCTCTGGTCTCAGCCAAGGCACCACTGAAGAGCCTCAGCCCCAGGGCTGCCTCCTCCCACTGCAGCTTAACCTGCTGCTCCCTTCCATGTGCTGCTGAAAAAAGAAAAAAAAAAGTGGCCTGCGTATCATAAGTGGCACACTTGCCATAGGTTGCCGACCCCGGTACTAAGACCACAAATAGCAGTGCCACAGTGGACTGCATATTCTGGATCATGCTTACAAAACCAACTGAAATCACTTGCTAGATCTAGCACAAACTTGTTTGTAGTGTATGTCCAAATGCGTGCACCATACTGGCACTGTGGTGATGCCCTTTACAGTAATAATAGTTTGAGTCTGCAGAAGCAATATTACAATTACAAAGCTATTCACTAATATACTGATATTTAAAAGTTGAAAATGCACTATTTACCATTTGATTTAGCTGAATTTAAAGAGTGAATAAATTAGTCTAAGACTTTTAGATCAAGCTAAGTTTTCTTTAACTAAATGGTGGGCTGTGTCTACATTTAAAGGAAGTATCTACACCAACTTCTACTTTGATTAGGAGCTTAGGATATTATTTTTAATATTTGTTTTTATTAGAGTAAGGTTTTGTCACAAAAGACAAATGTCTTTGGTCATTTTTATATACCACCTGATATTTTGTAAAATGATACAGCCTAAAAAATGGAGGCCAGAAGACAATCAGTAAAAAAGAAATCAAAAGTAAAAAGACAGAGAGAAACAAAACAAACACTCTAATGAAAAAGCATTACATTAGGCAATAAGTTGATTACATTTCCAACTTCATACTTCCGGCAATTGTTTGCCAAATAAAACATACCAAGCACAAAAAAGGGACAGCTGTTAACACTCATTTTGTTTCATACTGTTTTGTCCTCTATTTATGTATAGAGTTTTTATAACAGAGAATTAGAAACTTAACAAAATAGCCAAGATTTCTGCACATTTCTAATATGAAGCAGATATCAGCATCCTAATAAAAGCCACCGTAAAAAACAAAGTTTTCTGTTTAATGGACTTGAAGCAAGCACTTATTCTTAAGTCTACTAATTCAGTTAAGCAGTTATGTCTGAGCACAAAGAATGGTGAAGAGGGGCAGGAACAATAAAGAGCAGGGGAGTGATGTGGAAAGAAGGAAGAAGAGTGTAAAGGGGAGGGGAAAGTGACATTGTGCAAAACAGATTAAGAAACGTTAAAGTTGTTTGTAATGTTGGTGTAACTATCGTGGTCTTAGGATGTTAGAAAGAGAAGGTGGGTAAGGTGGTATATCTTATTGGACCAACTTCCACTGGGGAGACAACATCTTTTGAGGTCCTTTTTTCACTTCAGAGACCTGAAGAACAGCTTTAGTGCAAGATTCTGCTGGCGAGAGAGAAACTAGCTCAGTAAAAGATATTTTACCTCACTCAAGTTGGATCATTAATGTTTGTTACCCCCTTATTTGCTTTGTCCCTCCTCACTTATAGTCAACCAAAGCATTAACCCTACTATTCACAGCACACCGCCCTCTCCTGAAAAACCCAGCCATACCATAACATAGGACATGGTCTGAGGTCAACTTAGAGACAAGAGCCAGGGAAGGGAGGAACTGCAGAAAAATCTGGGGAGTCCAACCAGATCCTTGCACTCACTGGGGCAGCACCAAGATCTTCTACAAGCTCCTGACATTCCACCAGAGCATGTGCAATAGGAGATTTAGTTTCACTAGTCTCCGAGTAGCCATGTTAGTCTGTAACTGTAAAAACAAGGAGCAAGGCCCGTGGCACCTTAGAGGCTAACACCTATACACCTATAGGACCATGCGCTTTCGCCAGGGGCTCTTAACCATTTTTCTCTCTGAGAACACAACAGGCAATACAAACTCTCTGGGCTGCCTGTGCCACAGCAACTTGCCGCATACAAGGCCAGGGCTGGCAAGCAGGACAATTGGCCAGGGCCCCTCTGCAGAGCTAAGTTGCTCGGGTTTTGGCTTCAGCTTTCTGTCCCCGGCCCAGCGAGTCTGACGGCCCCTGGCTGCGAAGCGCGGCACCAGGTGAGACAGACAGGCCCGGGCGGCCCCCCCTTTGCCCTTCACCAGCCCAGCCAGGCGTGCGCGGTGCACAAACAGGGCCGAGGCCGGGCCACGCCTCATCCCGCCGCTCGGGGCCGGATCCACACAGCGGCGCTTACTCACCGCTTGCGCCGCTTTCAGCAGCAGGCGCTGCCAGCCCAGCCGCCCGAATTTGCACCCGCAGCAGCGGCCCTCGCCGGCTTTTCCCTTTGGCTCGGTGGTGGACTCGTACACGCCGGCGATGGGGTCCATGGCGGGCGGGCTGCGGCGCCCGCGGGCCAGGACTCGGGCACGTCCCTCCGCCGCCGGGCCAAGCTCGCGAATCCCGCGGCAGCGCAGCGCCCCGCCGGCCAGGAGTTCCCCGCCCCGCGCTTCTGGAAAACCCGGGGCGGCGCCGGCTGCAGCCCCGCCCAGAGCCGCAGTCTCCGCCCGCTCTGCGCTGCCCGGGCGGGGGCGCCGCCGTCTGCCCAGTCAGGAGAGTTTTACCCCGCGCGCGTCACCAGTAACTTTCCGTGAGGCACGTCGCGGTGAGGGCTGCAGTTCAGCACTCCCCTCGGCCAGTGCCACTGGGCCCACGCGCTGGAGCAGCCCCCACACGCCGCCGGGTGTCCCCATGCGGGACCCTTCCCTGGGCAGAGCACAGCCCCATGTCTCCTTGTCAGGGGCGGCCCTAGACTAGCTGCCAGCAACTGGCGCCCTAGGCGAACCATGCAATCGGCGCCCCCATCTCCAACCCCCTCAATGATATTGCGCCGCCATGTGGTGCCCCATTTAACTTGGCGCGATAGGCGACCCCCCCTAGGTCGCCTATATGGACGGGCTGCCCCTGTTCCTTGGCCCTACCTCTTGTCCTCAGCCTCTTACCTCTCATCCCTTAAGGGGCATCTTCATTCCCCCTCCTCTGCACCCAGGGGAGATCTGCAGGGTTCACGCCTTGCCGCTGTCACTCCTCCCCCTCCACTCTTTACTCTTAGGTAATCTCATCCACAAATTCAAACTACAGCAACCTGGCTCCTGTCCCAAGGGGGCTGATGCCTCCCTCCCAAAATCTACTGTGACAGAGTCCCCCACCCCTCAAGCTTTTATGAAATGGACAAGAATATACATAACTCAAAAGGTGCTTTGAGCAAATTATTTCATGTAACTTACCAATCTTCATGTCCTGATCTGCTGGTTCTGTTTTTTGTACTTTGATGTATGTATCATTTGTGTGTAAAATTAGACATATGCAGTGGGGAATACTTTGTGGGTTTTAAATGTGTGAGTGAGAGGCATGGAGGGTATTACCCTAGATGTCTTGATAAACAACTCTTAAACAATCTCTTTTGTCCTTTAAGTCTAAGCCGGGGCTACTCAACATGTTGCTCACAGCTTGTTTGTTTGCAGCTCACGGTGCAGTATGGGTTTATACAGGGCTCAACACACAGCCTGCAAGTGGGATCCTTTGAACATGGCCTCCACTGGGAACATGCTCCACAATGGCAAGGCATCTCCAAAGCAGGGTGATCACTGAAAGATGCAAGCTTTCTGGTTGGAACAGACAGGTACAGGGTGTTGGCATTCTAGCTCCCAGGGAGGAGGTGCTGGGAGCACTGGGGCATTGTGGGAAGTGCTTTATATCATGCCTGTCAGTGTGAAAGAAGCTATATATATATATATAACCACACTTAAGTTGCGGCCCTTGGCATGTGCAGTATCATTGTGGCCACTGGGGCTTCCAAAGTGGTTGGTAGGTAGTGGCCTCAATTCTTAAAAAAGAATAGGAAAGCAGGAGCCTTAGTCTTTTGGCTGGTCTGCACCTGAAGGAAGGAGCTGAAGACCCCAGGATGGGGAGACAGCCCTGGTTTGGAGGGGCAGCTGGAAAAGAGGTTTTAGGGCAAGCTTTTAAAAAGTTTGTACTGAGGTTTCAGTGTTGAATTAGCCAAGTTATTTTGTTTCTTTTGATTTGTAACCTACTTTGCTCTGTCTTTTCTCACTACCACTTAAATCCTACTCCTTGTACTTAATAAAATCACGTTTATCTTCTATTAAACCCAGTGTAAATAATTGTTACCTGGAGGGTCAACCAGTGTGTACATTCCCCCTTTCATTGCTAAAGGGAGCTTACCCAGGTAATTCATTGGAGCTATGTCTAGACTGGCATGATTTTCCGGAAATGCTTTTAACGGAAAAAGCACTTTTTGTGGAAAAGCGTCCGTGGCCAATCTAGATGCGCTTTTCCGCAAAAAAAGCCCCGATCGCCATTTTCACGATCAGGGCTTTTTTGCGGAAAACAAATCTCTGCTGTCTACACTGACCCTTTTGTGTAAAAGTTTTTCGGAAAAACACTTTTGCCCGAAGGGGAGCAGCATAGTATTTCCGCAAAGACACTGACAATCTTACATGAGATCGTCAGTGCTTTTGCAGAAATTCAAGTGGCCAGTGTAGACAGCTGGCAAGTTTTTCTGGAAAAGCAGCTGCTTTTTTCCAGAAAAAGTGGCCAGTCTAGACACAGCCTGGGGGTTTTGATCCCCTTTGCGGAGTGGTATCCCAGAGAGCTTCAAGAGGTTCAATATCTGTATTGCTTCTCAGGAGCGGGGGGCAGGGATCTCAGCCTGGGGCCTCGACTAGGGGAGACCAGCAGAGCTGGTCCAGCAGGACTGATCCAGCAGGAGCACGTGGTGAGAAGTCTCAGAGAGCGGGAAGGCGAGTGGCAGTGGCCATGTCAGCACCCCAGGAAGCATCCCCCCCATGGGTTTTCTGAGACCTCACTCCATCACATCTACCCCTCAAGCTCAAGTTTTATCACACTAAAACAGAATACTTTAATCCACTCCCCCATCTCAACCTCACCCTGCTTATTTCCTTTTCTTGGTCACTGTGGGCAGTACACTATCTTGGCTGCCACTGAGGCCACACCTACACTGGGGGAGAAAGTTGACTTAAGATATGCAACTGCAGCTACAAGAATAGCTTAGCTGGAGTTGATATCCCTTATGCTGAATTTCTGCAGCATCCCCATTACAAGAGGTTAATGCAGAGGGGGGTGAAAGTTACAACAGCACCCATAAGAAATTTAAGTGTCACACTTCCCTGAGGGAGGACTCAGGGCATAAGAATGGGTCATTCTGGGTCAGACCAAAGGTCCACCTAGCCCAGTGTCCTGTCTGTTGACAGTGGCCAGTATCGGATGCCCCAGAGGGAGGGAACACAACAGGAAATCTTCATGTGATCCCTCCCCTGTCAACCATTTCCAGACAAACAGAGGCTAGGGACACCATTCCTACCCATCTGGCTAATAGCTATTGATGGACCTAACCTCCATGAATCTATCTAGCTCTTTTTTGATACCTGTTAAAGTCCTGCTCTTCATAACATCCTCTGGCAAGGAGTTCCGTGCTGAGTGAAGAAAAGCTTCCTTTTGTCTGAAGGAAAAGAACCTTCAAAGCTGCACCAGACAGTGGGAACTGGAGTCCCAAGTGATTGCTGTGAGTTACCAGTACCAGAGGAGCCCCAGGGAGAAGTAGCTGCCAGGGAACCAGAAAACCCAGGAACCACATGGGATGCTGCCCCACCAGCACTGGTAGGAAGTGGCCCAGGGAGGGTGTCGTAGTAGTATCTCCCACCTAGGTAAGCTCATCATGTTTCAGTCATAGTTCCTACTGAGCAGATAGAACACTGGTTCACTCACAGGACCCTGGATTGGGACCTGGCTGACACCCCTGCTCCTATTAATTCTAGCTGATAGGCTGTACTGCCCTAGGAAAAAAGGTTACCTATTGTCATGACCATGAGGGTTAGCCAGCAGCCTGGGGACTAAGGGGTTAACTATATCCCTAACCTAAAGCCAGACACAAACCATCCAACCCAACCAGTTTGTTTTGTTCTAGCTTTCGGGATACTGGATAGCAAGGCTAGTTAAGGCATGATGTCCAGCTCTAGGAGAGATACATACCCCAAGAAGAGGAGACAGGAGCAGGTCCCTGTGAGTCCAGGGAGGAGTAACCTTGAGAAGACAGGAGGAAGGTATAACAGCCCTCCTCTCCCCTCACCAATGCCTTCTATGTGGGAAGCTGCCTGTAAGGCAGCTGGCAGACCTCTAACTCAGAAAGAGGTGAAGTTTCTCCTATGGATGGAGAAGAAGCGTGCCCAACGAGAACATCGGGAGAGGCTAGCACAAATAGAAGCGGATGTGAGGCAAGCGGAAATAGAAGCACAGGCCAAAATAGCGGAAATAAGGGCAGGGACAAGGCAAATGGGAGCAGAAGCACCAACGTTACCAATTAACCACCCTACTCCCATGAATGCTGCAGTCACTGTTCAACATCCCAAGGGACTCCAGACCCAGAGAGTAGAAGAACAACAGAGACTGTATCTTCTAGGTGTTCAGTGTATAACTGTGTGGGTATGGGATTTGATTATGGCATGGGTAATATGTGTAATTGGGCTGGTCCCTTAACCCAGCCCCAGAACATGTATGAGGTTTGTGAAAGGGGTGCGTGTGAATCTGGGAAGTTGTCTATGGCTAGTCTGTCCTACTGGGACTAAGTTAAAAGTTTCTCTAAGTGTTTGCCTGAGGGAGATAGCTGTGTGTCTATGCAGGAGAGCTGTGTGTCTGTGAGCAAGATTTCTGCATGTCTGTCTGAAGCCTCAGAGATGAGACTGGAATCAGAAACAGGGCACGAAAAGCCCAGTAATCAGGGAAGTGTTTCTCTGGAATAATCTGGAGTGGCTGGCCAGAGTGAAACTTTAGCTGAGGGAAAAGATCAAGTTCTGGAGAAGGATGAGCTGTTGGCTGGTGAAGTTTGTAAAACTAAACCTGCACAAGCTGAAGGTGATTTATTTGAGGGAGCTCAGTATAAGCGACCTCTGTGTGGCAGTTTGACTGCTGGAAGGGGCGGTATGCCTCAAGGGGAAGGGTTTCTTCCCAGTTCTTTGTCTGTAGGAGGCGCCTGTCAGCCTAGAATGGCTGAGAAGAGTGCTGTAGGTCCAGATTGAGTTCTGGGGACAGCTGAAGCCCAGAAAGGGGAGGACCCTAGGTTTGTGTCTGCTGGGGACAGTGGTGCTATAACTGGGGTGGGCCCAGTCAGTATCATGTCAGAAACCCAGGGATCAGACATGTCTGGTGCTTGTGTGTTACCTGTTGCTGGTGTGTTGCTGGGAGAGAGGACAGTGACTCTGTACTACCCTAGCCAGGACACTCGGGGAGCAGCAGGGTGTGGTAAGTGTGGTACCTACAGACAGTATGGAAGTGTGTAGCAGTCTAGAAAGCTGCAAGGAGGAGGGAAATATCTCTGACATCTTACCAGGGAAATCTGTTTTTCTGAGAGGGGGTTGTGTGGGGGCTGTTCAGAAGGCTAAGAGTACAGGCAGTCCCCGGGTTACGTACAAGATAGGCACTGTAGTTT